AATTAAGAAATTACGCAAAATGCAATATAATATTTAACATGAAAAATACATTGGATAGTTTTGAATAACATTTTAAGAAAATTCAATGTTATAAAAGTAGACATATCAATTTAATCATATTAAATAGTAGGAAATAATAAAGCCCAATCAACATTAGGTTTGCATGCAATAATCTGGTTGAATAATAAACAAAACAAATCCATTTATGATATATAAATACATATTGTACGTTGCGTCCACGTTCAAAATGTACAAGTTTATTATAGATTCATGTTTTTAACATTTGTTCTTTATTTCTACTTTTCAAACAATAATCTTCATTTTAAATATATTGAAAGATTTGTAACCTCTAAAAGAGAATGATCTTAAATAGTTAAATGATAAGAAATATGAAGAATCAATAGGTATGCAATTTATATCTCATAGAATCACATTATGAGTTTAAATTAAATAATCATGTATCAATATAAAAATGTCATTAGCCGATTTGTAAGAATTATTATAAGCACTATTTAAATTGTGTGACTTGTTCTAATCCTAATAAATCATGATACCTAATCAACTTAAAAAACTTTTGGGTACAAAAGAAAACGGTAGAGTTAAAAAGAATAGAAGAAAACTATAGTTGGAGTAGTTGAGAATAACCCAATAATTTCGATTACCTTATTGAAGTGAAAAAAAATTTATCTATTTAATTTACTTTTTATTCTATGCACAAATATCCTCCAATGCAATCCTATTCGAGATGCTATCGCCTATCAGACACTAAATATGAGTATTTCTTATGACTGAAATTTGTATTCATTTTATTTTGTATATTTATGAAAAATAAAGAACATTGCAGAGTCAACAATCGTGTTATTGACTCATCCAAGAAGCCCAACTTGTGCAGCACTCCTCCAGTCTTTTAATATGAGAATTAATTAAGGAATTGATATTGATCCTATATATAAGACCTATTTTACATGTTTATCAATTTTTTTCTAAATTAACCTTATTAATATTTTCTTGACAATAATCAAATAGGAGAAAGGAAGGAGGAAATTAAGGAAGATGATTAGGTGTTTTAGGGGGAAAAAACATATTATATCAAATAATTTAACTAAAATTTTTAATCTACTTAAATTAGTTAATTGGGTCTTACATTAAAAATTAGAGGAGTATCATTTAATACCCTTCTATATTTTAGCGGTTTGATTAATTGATTTTTTAAAAATCGACGCTTCTAGTTTTTATTTGTTTTTATAAGATTTGAGTACACATTTTTATGAAATATGACTTGTATTTTTGTTAACTAAACCAACATTCACCAATTTGTGACCGTGAGAAATCTTCATCAATTACATACTTGCAAGGAGCTCCCAGTAGTATGTTTATGTGAGAATTTCTCACGGATCATGTATCCTAAGAAATTCTAATGAAGTAAATCATTAAAAATAATTTTTTTCACAAACTATTCTTACTATTTGCTTAAAAAAGGTTCTGAGAGAAAATCTATGCTTTTGGTGCAGTGAAATAATCAATACTTTAAAAACCGAAATGATTATTAAACAAATCAAGACACTGATTCGTAGTTCAATAGTGAAATTGGCATCGAATTGTTTACTTACACCAGACATGAAAGTTGCGCTTGATGATAAATAATTTAGACATGGGCTTGTAATTTACTACCTCTGATCGTTAATATAAAACTATTTAAGAATTGTATTTGATCATGATATAAGATATCAATCTACTTTTTTTTTTTCTAAATTTATAATTCATTCTCCAAAGTATCTCTATTGATTAAGCATATTAAAGGAGTTTCTATCAAAAGGTGGTTATTATTAAAATGATACTTTGGGGAATTCAAGTCATATTTGTTACAAATAACTAATTTAATAAACTTTATTTATTAATTAGTTAAGTAATTCTTATATTAAGGATTGGAGGTAGTATAAAAGAGTCATGGGATTGCGTGAACTTCTTGTCCAACTTTGTTTATTTTGATACAATCTTGTCCAACTATATAAAGACGTAATACACAACCTCTTCTCCGAAGTGTTGCTTCAAAAGCCCTTCCCACACAGGTCAAAAAAAAAGTTTTTTAAAAAAAAAAGTCCCTTCCCACACATCGTGTAGTCGCGTGCTGCTAATTATACCAGCTCATGATGCTGATTCTAACGTCTCCTCATAATCTTCAATTTCATAATTCTCATTCTTCTCAATCACTTCTTTTACCTCTTCTGTTGTTAGCATGTAAAGGGAAGTTGGGTAAGAAGCATTTGCCTATTGGCGTGCACAACACGAAGGCCATGTTTCTCTCCTCTAGTTGTGCACGGTCATCACATTCATCAATAATGTGGGAGGACCTTGTGCTTTTGTTAAACAATTTTTTCGAAGTAGACTTTTTAGGTTTTTTCCACTCTTTTTTCACTTCTCTTTTTTATTGTCATCTTTGTCCGCATGTAACTGCTATCATGTAAACTACTTTTAATTGTCTTTTAACTAACACATTATCTTTTTATAAAGAAAAAATGTAAATAGGCAAGTTGAAGGAAAATAATCTACCGCTCCATCGCTTATTCAAGATACTTAGATCCGGTTTGCGTTTTGTCCATAATTCATAAGGTGTGGAAGCGAATGATTTTGAGGGCACACGGTTAAGTATGAAGGTTGCCGTTAATAAAGCATCACCCCAATATGAAATTGGTAGGTTTGCTTGAGTCATCATAGAACTAACCATGTCTAGAAGAGTTCTATTCCTCCTCTCAGCCACTCCATTCTGTTGTGGAGTGCCAGGGATAGTCAGTTGTCTAATTATCCCTTTTTCCTCACAGAGCTGTTTGAATTGATCAGATAAATATTCACGACCTCGATCAGTACGTAATGCTTTAATTTTACTGTCTATTTGATTCTCTACCTCATTTATGTATCGTCTAAAGCACTCAAGAGCTTCAGACTTATGTGAGATCAAATAGACATGACCATATCATGAAAAATCGTCAATGAAGGTAATAAAATACCAAGCTCCATGTCTCACCCTCACACTCATTGGACCACAGATATCAGAATGGATTAATTGTAATGGATTTTCAGCTCTTGTTCCCTTACCGAAAGGTTTTCTAGTTGCCTTACCAGCTAGACAATTTTCACATAAGGACATTTCCATGTTAGGGATTGCGCCCAACATTCCTTCTTTTGCCAGTTTAATCATTCTATTCTGATTAATATGTCCTAGTCTAGCATGTCAGATATTTATATCAGGATTGCTTGAAGAAATAGCAAAACAATCATGAGCGTTAAAACCAAAAGCAAGATCCATAACAAAAAATTTCTGGAATCTGAATGCTGAACCATGAAGTTCTGAGTTGAAGAAAATGTCTGCAACTTTGCCATGAAAATTAACATTAAACCCAAAGTCTACTAAGCAAATAACAGAAATTAAATTCCGTCGGATGTCGGGAGCATGAAGCACATCATGGAGTATTAAGTTCTTTCCACCACGCAAAGCAAGTTTGCAGGTGCCAATGCCTTGAACCTCGATTCTGGCATTGTTCCCAATGTAAAGCCACTTGCTTTGATACGGCAACCGATGGAATTCCACGAAGGATCCTCGATCCCTATTTACGTGGTCTGTGGAGCCTGAGTCTATAATCCAAGATGAAAAAACAGGTTCTGTTAGAAAAACAATACTTGAAACATATGAAACATGTGAATTCACATAATTCACTAATACCTTTTCGCTTTCAACCTGTTTGGAACAGTCACGTGTGAAATGGCCCATTTGTTGGCAGGCGAAGCATTTGACCTTCTTCAGGTCTAGCTTCTTCTTCCCGCCTTTCTTTCCCTTCTTCTTGAATTGTTTCTTGCCCTTTTTAAATTGAGGACCGCCCTTCTTCCCTTTCTTTTGGGGCTTCTTGCCCTTTTTGAAATTGGGCTTAGATTGGGAAGTACCAGCATCCTCAGTCAAATAGGTCTGTCCAGAGCTCTTGTAAGCCTCTAGATGTTCATCTTCCAGCTCCAGATGCTTAGCTACATCATTAAAAGTGATGATGTTTTCATTGTGGGTTAGGTTGACTTTCATGTGCTCCCAACTTGCAGGGAGTGACCTGATGACAGCCTGCACTTGCTACTCATCAGACAGGTTATGTCCAACTTCCTTCAGTTCCCAGATCATATTGGTCATCTCTCTTAGATGTTGCTTCATAGGATTGTTTGGCTTAAGCTTATAGGTATCGAACTTAATCGTCAACCTTCTAAGCTTGGTCGTAGAGACTCCACCAAACTTGTCCTTCAATGCTATCCACATGGCTTGTGCAGTTTTGTGCGACTCAAACTCGCACATCAGGTCATCAGCCATGGAGCTCAAAAGCGTGATTCTTGCTATGCTATTCTTCTTTTTCCAGGTTAGATATGCCTCTTGGTCTCTCCTGTGCTGGACCGTGTTGCCAGCTTCAGGTTCAACCATAGCAGTAGTGAGAGGCTCTATCGCATCCTGTTCTTCTAGGATATACTGGACCTTTCGGTGCCAGATGTCCCAGTTGTCCCCGTTAAGCTTTTCCCCTTTGTTCAATTCAGCAATTATGTTCTTGGTTGCCATTCTTAGTTCTATGACAAATCTATCCCACATTAATCTATGTTCTCTTTAAAGAGAACTGAACCAAAGAACATTTCAGTTATATAGCATAATGAAGTATACAATGTAATGTGCCTATATCAGTAAATAATGAAATTACAAGATCTATGATCAGGAGAATACGTTTGTACCTCCCATCACACAGATACTAGTAATTATCATTATATTCTATCAAGAATACTATATCAGCACTTCAAAAATGTAACCTTTAGAAGTCTTATTTTCTAAAAGCTCCCACTTATAAAAGACATACACATGATATTCACAAATAATCATACAACAATAATTCAAGTAATTTCATTAAATGAAATAACATACTTAGTCTGTTTACAATGCATGAAACCACAAACTTAAGGCGAATACAAATATTACATCATTTGATATGAACATAAAGGTAATCAAGCATTGCTTTTCTTAGACTTCTAAGTTTGCGCGTTTTGTTCATAAAGGAGGACACTAGCTCTATGGCCCAAATCCAGTAAGACTTTCTTATGGGTTTGCCTTTAGGTCCGCCTCTAACCCTTATTGCTCTTATATACTCCATTATGACTCTAAGGTAGAATTCGGTATGCTTCTTATCGGTCATGTAATGGACGTAGCTAGCGAGCACGCCATTGATGCCTTTTATGTTTGTTAATTTAGCTGCATCTCTTTCAGCTATTCTCATAGCTAAACCAAGGGTACATGGTTGATCCACCTCTTCGCCTTCCTCTACTTCGGTTTTATTGGAAAGATCTAGTGAATCATTACAGACCAAATGAGGTTCGGTACGGAGGGGTTCAGTGGGGAATAAAGATTCTGCTGACTCAGGTCCAGAATCCATTAACTCCTCTGGGTCTTTTTGAGGAACCTCTTCAGGGTCCTCCTCAGGATCCTCATCCTCAGGTTCATATTCTGGAATTCCATCACCTAGGAATGAATATTCCAATGAACCATGATCGGTATTTTCAGTGCTACTAGAAGCCTCTTGCTCCATTTTTACCTAGAACAAAATAATATAAATTATTTTGAATATTCTGGAATTTTTATCCACATAAAAACACCAGAAAACGCACTAAAATACACATAAATAGATCCTAAATTGCCTCTAAAATTATCAAATTATATATTTCCTAGGTGGATCAAATGGACAATAAAATTAAAGCATTACGTACTGATCGAGGTCGTGAATATTTATCTGATCAATTCAAACAGCTCTGTGAGGAAAAAGGGATAATTAGACAACTGACTATCCCTAGCACTCCACAATAGAATGGAGTGGCTGAGAGGAGGAATATAACTCTTCTAGACATGGTTAGGTCTATGATGGCTCAAGCAAACCTACCAATTTCATATTGGGGTGATGCTTTATTAACGGCAACTTTCATACTTAACCGTGTGCCCTCAAAATCAGTCGCTTCCACACCCTATGAATTATGGACAAAACGCAAACCGGATCTAAGTATCTTGAGCCCCTGGGGTCCTCGGTGTAACATCTTGAGTTTTATCGGGTTTTAATAGCCTCTTTTGGGTTGATTTTGAGGATAGATTAGTGATTTAATCTTGATCTTGGTGTTTGGGTTGGATTTGAGGTTTGTTGGAGGAACAGGTAAACGTACCCCTCTCAGGGTATATTCGCCGCGGCGAAGTTTACTTCACCGCGGCACACCGGGAGTTTTAGAGGGGAGTGTCTTCTCGGGAAGGTTTGGCCGCGGCGAAGTCTAGGGGACGCCGCGGCGAAGTTGTTCGGGTGAGCGAGGCTTCCCTTTCGGGAAGGTTTCGCCGCGGCGAAGGTAGGGGTATGCCGCGGCGAATGTTTTCTGGGCGAGCGAGAGTTTCCTCTCGGGAAGCTTTCGCCGCGGTGAAGATTGGGGTTCGCCGCGGCGAAGTCAGGTTTTCAGGCGAGTAATCCCTCTCGGGATTAGTTCGCCGCGGCGAAGATGGAGTTCGCCGCGGCGAAAGGTCACGAATCTATATATTCACGGGAGCAGTTCAGCATGCGAAAAATAGAAAATCTGAAGGAGGAGAGAGGAGCTCTGCTAGGGTTTCGGTTTTGAGGCTTGGGAAAGACATTTCTAAGGATCCATTACCTCAAGTAAGTGATTTTAACCTCTAATCTTCTTTCTTTCTTGGAATTTCTTGGAATTTCTGAGGATTTATGGTGAAACCTTAGGCTTTTCTAGGTTGTGATGAAACTGAGGTTTTTGACCGATTGTTTTGAGTTTAATTGATTGCATTGGGTTAGTTTAAGTATCGGTTAATCGGTGTAGTTTCCTTGGATTTAAAGAATCTTGAATTTTTGGAGCTAGGGTTTATGGAATTGGATGATTTGGGATTGAGGATGATAATGTAGAGATTGATTTTGAGTTTTGTGAATTGGGTTATGTTAAGGAGGGTTAAATTGGATGTTTAATCGGTTTAGAATTGTTGTTGGAACCTTAATTGCTCAAATGGGATGTTTGGGTGTAGAATTCCATAGTGGGTCCTTGAGGTTGTGAATCTTAATTGATGTTTGGAAAGGAATTAAGGTGTTAATGGATTGGTATAACCTTGGAGTGTTGCCTTGATAGTTATACCCTTTGAGTTGGGTAGAGTTTTGATGGGAGATAGGAATTTTGTGTCCCCAAGTGTTGTTTTAGCCACATTATTAGTTTGAAAGCTAATATATGATGGTTGTGTGTTTGTGTGCTTGTGTAGACCGGTTGTGAGTCTTGGTGGTGCACGGGGCCACATCGTTGGTTTGTTATTCCTTGCTCAGGCGAGAGGTAACCACTTTCCAATCCTTAGTACTTGCTTCTATGGTATTGTGAGTAGATTTATGTTTTGTGCTCTAAGTAGTAATTATGTTCAAACTATATGTTGTATATAAAAAGGGAAAACCGTCTTGTGGGGTTTTTGTTTGATGATGAATGAAATCTTGAAATTGAGAAAGATATGCCACTGGATGAGGTTAATTGTGAAATGATTATTACTCTTTGATTATGATTTGAGCATGATGCATTGATTGGGAATTGGTGAGAGATTTGTCTGTTACTACCACATGGTAAGGCCTCCATTAATACATGATAGTTGGTTTAGTACGTCCCCCATAATGAGGGATAGGCCTTTTGGCTCCCTACGTCCCCCAGAGTGAGGGATAGGCCTTTTATGGCTCCTTACGTCCCCCATAGTGAGGGATAGGCCGGCTCCGGCTCCTGAAAATCCCCCAAAGTGAGGGATTTGGTTGATGGGATTGCATCATTGCACTTGCATGAATTGTTGTGGCTATCGTTTTATATTATTTGTGAACTACCCCACTTGACACCTCACGAGCACCTATTTAGTAGTACCTAGTATTGGAAAGGTTGGTTACTGGGACTTTGTCTCACCCCGTGGTTTACAATGTTTCCAGGTGAAGGTTCCGGGCGTGGGCCATCGGGAAGAGACGCAGAGGCTTGAGCTTGGTTAGCTTTAGGCCTCTAGCATTTGTATATGTATGACTAGTATATATTGCCACATTTAGGACTGCTTTTTGATATATTTGATTACCCGGCCTTGTTGTAAACTGGAGAGAATGTATCTCCTTATTTTGGTTGGCCGGAGGCCATTGCTAGTGTTTGATGAACTCTGGATTATATAGTTGAAAACTTTTTAGATGGGCTAACTTTGATGTATGTGTTACCCGGGCCGGAGGCTCGGAGGCCCAGTAGATATGAATGGATTATTTTAGTTGCATGCAACGTCTATCGGGTTGACCCGAGTTTGAAAGTCAATTTCTAAAAATATGAAATTTTCCTTCTACTATGGTAGCTCGTTTTAACAGCTTTCCTTTTCTACCATAGTAGTAGACTTTATGATGATTTATGATGTTTTTAAGGTTAAGGGTCTTACACTCGGCGTATATCCATGACACTTCTCATAAGCATGGGAAGTTGGGTCCCCGAGGAAAGAAGTGTATCTTTATAAGGTACTCTGAACAATCTAAAGGATACGTTTTCATAGGTGAAAATGAAGATGGAATAGTGACTGAAATGGAATCAAGAGATGCCACATTCATTGAGACTGAATTTCCTAATAGAAGAGATGTTGACCGCACTGTATCTCTTTATGAGACACAGGAACAAGTCAGTGCAGAACAAATTGACAGACCAGAATCGTCTAGGTGTGTCAATCTGAGTGGGAGCCAAGAAAGGTCAACACTAAGACCTGAACAAAGAAAGAAAGATAAGCAAATAGCTCCCGTCAGAAGGAGTAATAGGGAAAGTGTTCCCAAAAGACGTTTTCAAATAGAAGGCGAATCTCTCTTAGTTACTCCAGAAGGGGATTATGAGCCCCGTTCTGTACGAGAGGCCTTGTTAGGTCCTGCAAAAGATGAATGGATGAACGCTATGGAAGAAGAAATGGACTCAATGAAAAAGAACCAAGTTTGGGTGTTAGTTGATCTTCCAAAAGGGCGTAAAGCCATTGGGAACAAGTGGGTTCTCAAAATTAAAAGAAAAGTGGATGGATCAATTGACAAATACAAGGCTTGATTAGTGGCAAAGGGGTACACACAACAGGAAGGAATAGATTATGAAGATACATTCTCACCTGTTGTGCGTTTCAATTCTATTAGACTTATTATGGCAATAGTAAATAGTTTAGATCTAGAATTACATCAGATGGATGTAAAAACCACATTTCTGAATGGTGATCTGGATGAAGAAATCTATATGAAACAACCATTAGGTTTCATTGAAAATGGAAAAGAAAATAAAGTTTGTAAACTCAAAAGGTCCATTTATGGATTGAAACAACCATCCAGACAGTGGTATTTGAGGTTTCACAAAGCAATAACCTCATATGACTTCCAAATGATAGAGGAAGACCACTGCGTCTACATTAAGCGGTTTGAGGGTAATTTTGTCATATTATCCTTATATGTAGACGATATACTATTAGCCGGAAATAGTCTAGATTCGGTGGTGGCTATTAAAGAATGGCTTTCGTCGAATTTTGAGATGAAAGATTTGGGTGAAGCAGAGTATATACTTGGAGTTAAGATCCAAAGAAATCGCTCAAAACAACTACTCTCTCTTTCACAAGAGAATTATATCAACAAGATTCTTGAGCAATTTAACATGAAAGACTGCAATCCCATGAGTACCCCTGTTGCTACTGGAGTGGCTTTGAGTTCTGACATGTGTCCCAAAACCGAGTCTGACAAAAAGAAGATGGAAAGAGTTCCATATGCCAGTGCTGTTGGTAGTCTAATGTACGCAATGATGTGTACAAGACCAGACATCTATTATGCAGTGGGACTGGTGAGCAGATTCCAGTCTAACCCCGGTGAAAAGCATTAGAAAGCAGTGAAGAGGATCTTGAGATACTTAAAGGGCACTTCTAATTATGCACTGTGCTACGAAGGAAGTGACCTGCGTCTTGTTGGGTACTCCG